CGGGGCATTTAGGCAGAGACGCTGATGCTGGGTAAAAACTGTGTGGTCCTAAATAGTCCGTGGAGAATTGTTTACATTTCTTCAGGGAGCTTTTGGTTTACATGTAGAATTATACTATAGCCTCACACTATACCAGCTATTTATATCAACAGATACTCCCTAAACGTGTGCACACTATACATATGCATACATCCATATATTACGCGATAGAAAAATACCTTCTTTTATGGTGTCTCTCAAAAACCTTGGTCTTGAGAAACAAATCACTTACCGTTCACAACGAATGCCGGTATAGCCTTCTTTGCAGATACACTGAATTTCTTCACCATTTGCCACACAGCCAGTTGCAAATCTTTGAGAAGAAGCAAAAATATTATTGTGAGTACATCATCAAATAGGTTTTACACTCTAGAGGCTAAGCTCAGTTAAATGAGGTTTGGATTAAAAAGTTTTTACACCACCAAATTACTACTCAGCTAATTTAATTGCCTCTAGATAAATTGCTGTGACTAATTCTTTGAAGTTTCATATTTTTCATCTAAATTCTTTCCTTAGACTAAAAAAAAATCATTTCCTGATCCTCTGGACTGAGGATAATAGTTGACTATCCAAATGAATGCTTAAAATAAACCTTAATAGTGATGTTGTAAAATAAAATAAGTTTGGGTAGCTATTTTATCTTACTAGGCAAGAATCAATAGCCTGTGCTAGATAACATTTCCTCCTGTTTGGATAGCTTTTTTGTTTGGTTTTTTTATATGGATGGAAACATTAGAGGATATTTTTATGTAGCTAATATTGTTTGGTTTTTTTAACTAAGGCAGAATGGAGTTGTGCACCATTTTGGGGAGCTCTAGGGTATATCTGGTTAATGCAATGAACATTTTTGTCTGCTTTTTCTAGCAGACTTGCCTAGATTCAAATTTCTCTGGGGAGGAAAACCATTTTTTGACCAATGTTTGGGAAGAAGGCAGGAGGTGAAGCAAGGATAGGCCATGTTTCCTATTCCTATTTTTTAATCTATGAACAGTTGGATAAAGCAAGTCTCTGTATTAAAGACAGATGTCTGCACTAAGAATTACATATAATTTGGCTAGGTGGAAAATTGTGAACTCCAATAATGCCAGGCGGGGCGCATTTCCTATGTCAGGAATGGTATTTAACACCATAATGTGCAGCTATGAAACTGCACAGGTTTACGGTCTCCCTAGGTATTTCAGCACTCCTAAAGCAAAAGATGCGTAAAAATATGTTCAGCCTCTAGGCAAGCACCTGCAGAAGAGGCCAGTGCTGTCAAAACCAGATCTATCAGAGAGTTCTCTGATAAATGAAAAACCTGTCTGTTGTCTGCTAGTGTAAATCTCTTACTTAAGGCTACTTGGTGTTTGCTAATGCACCTGGCAAATACTATGTGGTGCCTTTAGCAATTTATAGCTTGTTTTCTTTTAAAAAATCTTTGTTTTTATTTAACACATTTCACATCTGAGAACCGATCAATGATGACAAACAATGTGGCTAAACATACCGTGCATTTAAAATGCAATTTACTGGCCAATTTTAAAAGCCTGGCAACCTCATTAGATCCAAGGAAATTTAATTTTTTCTAGCTCAGTATGTTTGTACTTCAAATGGAGCTTCCACCTGAACAGCAACCGTACTCTTTCAGAAATCTAGATATGTGCTTAAGAGCTTTAATATTTTTATATTATTTTTGCATCTTACTAAATTTTATGAATTCATATAAAAGGTTTGTTTAATTGTTGTCACTTATCTCCCAGCCAGAGTTATGGTGTTAAATGTGAGACTAAAGATAGCTTACATCTTGCATTTCAGTAAATAAGAAAGATTCTGGATATGTCCGATAAGGGAAAAGACTTCCATCCTGTATTTCTCGCTACGAAGGAGTTACTGGTGGTTTTGTACATAAGCCCATTACAACTGCCTGGGGCTCCCCCAGGCGATGAGCAGCGTGCCTTTGTGGTTCTGGAACTGAGTGAGAGTTGGAATATTCAGCTTATTAAAAAAGAGAACGCTGTGAGACAGAGCATCAAGTTACTGCTGGTCTAACATGCCTCAAATGGGTCTGATGCCCCACCATGTTGGGTGGTATGAGAATACAGAAAAAGATCATTATCTCCCTATAGTAGCAGGGCTTTGGGTTGAGTGGTTTGTTTGGTACTGTTTTTTTTTTCCTTTTTCCCCCTCCCCTCTACCCTCTGCTTGACATGACCTTTTACAGTACCTGTTTGTATAAGGGCAAGGACACACCCGACAGGAACCTTGAGTGGCATCTCCAAAATAACCATCTTTACAGCGCTCGCATTTCTCCCCAGCAGTATTATACTGACAGTTCTTAAAAAGGAAACAGGCAAGACAGTTAGTAGTGCTTTACCACTCAGTATGGCTTTATTAATATGTAAAAAAAAAAAAAAAAAAAAAGCAAATCTACTCGGAGGATATAGTCTTTTCCTTCCACATAATCAAGCATTTATTGCCAAACTGGCTTCACAATCAGGATAGATTGATTCAAATCATTCTCTAATTGTAGAAAGCACCATTTGCTCCCTATTGTGGAAGAGCAACAGATAAATAAGCAGCATTAAACTTATTTTTAAGGAAATTCAATCAGATGCATAGTTTGTTAAGGAACATTCCATTAATGCATTTTCTATGTCTTGATATTTCAATTAAAAATCACTATGTTTAAATGGAACTTTAAATTTTGCATCTTAACACTAATTAGAAGACAGATATCATTTAAAAGCATGCAATTAATTGAGCCCAAGTACATTCTTTAAAAAATCCCATGAAATTAATACAAAAAGTATTTCTCTTAGTAGATTCAGATCAGAATTGAATTTCATGTACTTTCTCCAGTGTATATGTAATTTGTATTTATCTGGGGTAACTGGAATAAATAATGAAAAGCAAAGGCTGGGAAAATAATTGAAACTCATGCAATTGAGCCACTTTTTCCATGATAAAATTGTTGGGAATTATATCTTATTTTAGAAACATTCTTATTCCTGGAGCTAATTGTCACACACATTTACACATTATGGGGAGAGGATGAGCAAGTCGCTTTTGCATCCTAAAGCAATGCTAATTTAAAGTAGAAGTTGTTCAAATACATTTTTGAGCAGTCATAAAAATTCAATGTGACCACCACTCAAGAGGCATTAAAGCTCCCAAGTTCTAAAACTGTTTTCTTCAACGTGCAACAGACTGATCCGGTGTCCCACAGAGCTGAGGGTGTGTACTACTACAGCGAAAGATGGAAAAAAAAAGTGGAAAATTGGCTGAAAGCAGTCACTGAGCAAATTGTACTTCCATTTCAGCAGAGGGACATTTTTCCCTATAAATTAGAAACAGTTCTGTCTCTCCCATCTCCTCCACATTTCTTCATACTCAAGATTCCCTCAACAACATCAGCAGCCCTTCCTTCAGCCTCTGCATGTAGTAACCTCTAATTTGTTTTTGTTTTGGTTAAAGAACTAAGTTTGTGGCTTACTTGAGAATGGTTCTGGGAAATAACAGGGAAAAACTCCAGTTCACATATGGACCGTTTAACTAGGGGAAGCTAAAGTAATACGAAGACATGATATTTGTGAAAGAAATTATTTTAAAATGCAGCCTCTATAAAAGCTGGTGCATATATTCCTGCAAAAAGCTAATGGAAAATTCAGACTATTTCTGAATAATTACTGATAATCCTGAAGAATAAATTAAATTGCAAAAAGAGTAAAAGAGAGGTATTTAAAAATATTGGTGTTGGTTTGATCTTGGAGCAACCTCCCCCCCCACCCCCCAAGTTTCTCTTGGCTTTTGTTTTGCTCCCTCTGTCTATAGAAACTGAAGCAATTCCATAATTGCCAAAGAAAGTTTAAGACATTTCACAAAGAAGCCACTCTGAATGTGCCACAGTGTTCCTCTAGCTACATGGTGTAAAAGGACTGGAGAACATAACCCAGTGCTCCCAAAGCACAGTGGAATGAAGTCAGAGCAGCAATTCGCTCATGGGTCCTCCTTCAAGTTTCACAGGGCCAGAGACACCCTTGGAGTCACAGCATCTCCAAACCACCAAGTACTGAAAACTCTGAAAACTCTCAGCTGACTCCATATGCACCCATCTGGTACAAGGAAGCCAGAGCAGAATGTGTCATGGCCTCAACAGAAATACCTGGGTTACGTGACATGAAACAACATGTTATGGGATGAGCAAGTCTCAGTACCATGCTGCTGCTGAGGGAACGTGCCTTTCAGGAGGAAGGGCAGGGACCACGAGGACACAAAGCCTGATTAATGGCAGAGGGATGGCTTTTCCCTAAACATGAGAACCAGTTCTTCTGTCTTCTCCATCTCCTCCTCCACTTTCAGCAGCACAGCCCTGGATCCCTCTCCTTCCACCAGCGCCCAGTGGGATAGTTATTGCCTGAGCCGGGGATGATTGCACTGCTGTCACAGAGGAAAGAGTCAGTCTGGGCTTAGCCTTACAAAGCCTTCTCTGGAGACTATCTCTGGAGACTAGAGATGCTGACATGTAAGGCACTGGGGTCCAGTGCTCCAGGTGAGGAGTGGGAAGAAGGCCAAGTAAGCAAGATTTGCACTTTGGATATCAAACTTGGGAAGCCTCCTCGTCTCCTCCGTAGTGCTACAGGTCTTTGTCCCATGGACCCTCTACAGAGAGACAAACCTGCTCCTTATTAGGTGGAGGCTCATCATGGAAATACAGGCCCTCTGGGCTTTCATTTTTCACCGCATTATCCTGGATGACTTCGCTTGCCCGAAATTTTGTCCCAGGGCCAACTGTTGATTTAGCTCTATCTATCTGAAAGTTAATCCAGCTGTGAGACAGAGGGGACAAGGAGAAACCTAAATCACATACTCCATGAGGTAAAAGTGAAATTTGCAATTTTTTTTCCTTTATAATTTTAATCTGAAGTAAAACTTCCTCATCTTTATAGCTCTGCTGCAGCACTTTCTTGTCATGGCCTGCCCTCCCTCTCTAAAGTAGCGCTGTAAGTCATCCTCCAGAATGTGCTGAATTGGTTTATAGTTTCCATTAAAGCAAGAGGGTTGGTTGAGATGAAGTCGGGGGGAATGACATAAT